AAAGATTTACCATCAGAATACTAGTTTCACTGACGGAAAACAAAATGGCTCTATGCAAACGCCGTACTATACATACCCCCTCCTAGCGATTTGGTCACCGACAAAAAAGATAAACACGAGCATCACAAGAACCGGGCTAGCCCCAGACTGCCCGGTTAATTAGGAGGAGTAAGGCTGATCGACCCCTATTAACGATGAAAACTGTATTATCCACTTCCCTCTAAATTCGCCAGCAAAGACACGTTTTTTCCTTCCTTTCAGGAGTAGTACAATACTGATTGACATGACGTTACCGACACAGAAACAGCGTTCTGTAATTTTTTATGTTTCCTGTATAATTCTAAAAGTTCGACTTTCAGTTGTAATGGGATCACAATCTTGTTAAACAGGTTTCACTTGTCCTACTGACTGGCTGTACCTGAATGGTTCCTGCTATCGAGCTTACAGCACGGAACAGTCATGGTTTGATGCAGCGAAATTTTGTCAGGAAAATCAAGGAGAACTGCTCAGCATTAATTCTGAAGGAGAACAACGTTTTGTTTACCAGCGCATGGCCGTCAACAAAACTCTATGGATCGGTCTGGTCAAAGATCGAAGTTTGGGAAGTTTCCGCTGGTCGAACGGAGACAGGCTTACTTATGAGAACTGGATTATAGGAGAAGGAAGCATATCCGGTTCGGAGGACTGCGGTGAGATGACAGACTACAGTGTATTTCACGGTCAATGGAACGACAAGACCTGCTCCGTAAAACAGCCATACATCTGCGAGAAAGGTGACGTTAAACTCTTAAGATCCTATCAATAGTAAAAGTAAAGCCTCTTCGGAAGTGGTTTAACATAAGTTTTATTATCACAAAGCTGCTAGGAGTATTGCGACTCCAATACCTGGACGCGATGCTAATACATACATACAACCTTTATTTATACACGATTAAAAAAAATTCAAAGCTACAAGCTTGTGGGGTCGTGTGGAAATTAATAATTAAAAATTAAAATTAACAATACAATTTAATTAATTTAACTACTTTAACTACTTAACATATTAATATATCGCCGCTGATCGGATGCTCTGCAATCTCGGACAAAACCTCTTGAAACAAATTAAAATTCGAGAAAGATATTATTCTGTCAGTGACACAAGTTACCCCAACAGTAAAAATATATACATACCATCCCATCATTTCTTTCCACAAATTAAAATTCGTTAGGAAATTGACCGATTTCAAATTTCAACACAAAATGTTTAGCCTCCCTCCACTCCCACCCGATGTTATCTCGTTTTACTCAAATGTGCTTACACAGGCCCACATTTAATAAGGTTCAAATGTGAAAAACACGACGCCTCGCTAGAGTAACAACGATCAAAACTATAATTGTTAGAATTATTGAAAGAAAAGAACGACAGAGAGAAAGAAATGTTAACAATTCAAGAAATGAACAAAATCTGTAAACATACTTGGATTATAAAAATAAAATAACAGCAGGTAAAATGTTAATAAATCAACAAACAAATAAAATTTGTAAACAGACCAACAAAACTTCATAAATTAGAGAGGGAAAACCGTCTTAGACGGGAAACTCGTCTTAGGACGGAAAATTCGTCTGATATAAATCTGGTGAAAGACGAGTTTCCCGTCTTAAATTTATCCGTCCATTTTCACGGAAAACTCGTCTTAGACGGAAAACCGTCTTAAATTCACATTAGACGAGAAAATCAGGACGGGTTTCCTGTTTGTTACACACTGGAACTGGAAATCCAGCAATTGCTTCTGGGATAGAAATGTAACCTGGCCTCATACTCGTCCTAGTCTCCGACGGCTCAAAGTCATTTATCTGTCTAATTTTACCGTCCTTAAATTCATATTAGGAATTCCGTCTGAGACGAGTTTCCCGTCTTCTAATATGAATTCGCTAAATAACTTTAAATACTAATGTGACAACTTTTTCATCAAAACAGGTGCTCTTCGTGGAAGATATTTCAAGAGTTTACCAAGGAGACGGCTGAATGAGCACGTGATTAGTCAGGTGACGGCATCAAGTGACATAGAATGCTTGTTGTTGTGTCAACGTCATCAGAACTGTATGTCCGTCAATTACAGACCCGGGGACTCACGATCCACGAGCCCGTGCGAGTTAAATGGTGCCATCGCTAAAGACTTCCCTGGAGATCTCACTGATAGCATGGAGTTCAATTATTACGAGTCTTTAGTATAGTGGCTCGACCCACCCCACCCCACTTGATATCGTGTGGTGTAATGCACAGACTGAGGATTGGGCTCCATTCGTACACGGGATTAATACAACCAAGTACTTTGCATAAATTTAACAGGCGTTGCTAGGAAACGATATCTCAAGCGGTTTTCCATCAAGAGGCATTTAAACTCAATGTTATAAAAACAAACAACACAACGTATTATTAACAGAAATGTACTACAGTAACTAAATATAGTCCAATCGCTGACAAGCCAAAGGAAACGCACCAAAACAGAAACGCGAAAATTCGAATTCATGTAAATAATGGAAATGTTTTGAAGTCGAAAAGTTCCTGTCCTAATAAATGAAATACTGTTAAAAGCCTTAAAATGTAAACACCGTAAATCCTCAAACAAGCGCCCCCCTCGAGTCCAAACCTTACCCTTTTATACCTTTTTTGACATAAAAGGTAACCCTTTCATATACCTTTTCAAATAAGCGCCCCCTTCAAATAAGCGCCCCTCCTATCAGCCAAAATTTGAAATAAGCCCCCCCCCCCCCCCCCCGGGACTAAGCGCCGAGGATTTACGATACCGTGACACCTTTTTCATGTGAATGCATCACCTAAGCCCCCATTACTTCTGCTTTGAGCCAGTTTTCCTTAACTACAAGGAGAGCAGTTTTGATGCTTTGATTAACGTGGTTATTAACATCCAATTAATACATTTACATTTTAATTATTTCATTTTCCTTCAAGAATACTAGGTGAGGAAAATTATTTATCAACATAAGTAATAAAAGGAGCACTTTTCTGTTACAAGTTTTTGTAGGTGATGTAAGTAAAGAGCTTAATCATATATGCGACGTATGTACGTAAGTAAGTGTTGTTTGTATGTTCTTGTAATGATTTAATTGCTGTGAGGGAGGCATAAATATATATATATATTTTTTCTTGATATGTATATTTTATATTCACAAGGGTAAATAGAATTAGGTTGTGAACCACCCTTCGCCCTGCAAATAAAGAGCTAGTCAGACATATATCTGCCGTCCCAAGTGTCGACAAGTGGACTGCTATCATGAAGCAGTTCACACACCAAATTAGCCAGATACCTTACGATGAAAGCAAACATATTCTACCCCAGTCTGGTTTATGTCGGTACAGTACCATTAGCAAACTCGCCTTGTTGCTTAAGTTGTTTTCAATCACACTTAACGTAGTATAAAATTGTTCTTTATTATCTTAGATTTCTTGTAATATTTATATCTGATAATAAAAAAATATTTGTCAATACACATTTTCATCCCAATTAAAATTGACTGATAGATTGAACGTTTGCATTTTCTAAGGATTGTTCAACTTGGCTCACGCACGGACAACATCACGCAATGCATCACATCACATTATTTCCAAGCTTGCAACGAAACCCGTTTCCATGGATCACAAGGTGAATACGTGGGACAGCAAATACTATCATCAAACTACTGTCAAACGTAATTCACAACATGAAATTATCATTCATGATCAACCGACGCAGTTGCAAACATGAATTACAGACTTGGCAGCCCTTACCAGCTGGCAACCAAAGTCTTGAAAGAAAACTGAAAGCTTCGTCAGTCAAATCTGCCTCAGTATTGATAAGCCTGGTGTTCTGTACAATGCCTTTTCTTTGCTCGTTGAGATAATAATCCTATCTCACGAGCCGAGCAAAAAATGCCAGGCATTTAAGAACCAATATATCCCTTTCCTCCCCCTCGCTCGAAGCGTTTTCAGATCTTGATTTTTATTTCAAAGGTAAAACACTGAATCTATTGATTTTGTTGTAGAATTTATCTCTCTGACAGACAGCACTCTATCAGCTCTCTGTAAGGAGCACTCGTTTGAGCTGCATTTCTAAACGTGGATATCAGGGTCTCTTTGTGCGTCGCGTCGAGATTCTGTGGAAAGGAAAACAAATCACTATGTTTTACTATTGTTTAGAGAGGAAACCTACAAAAGCCGTGGGTCATTTATCCGGATCGAATTGGAACTTGTATCTGTTGGTTTTTTGAAGAGAGATGAAGATCAGAGTGGCACGTGGCAGGCTTGGCTAGGGGGTGTGGGATTACAAATGTATTGAACGCCCCACCATTTATTGTGGTTAAGACTCGTGACCTTGGAGAAAGTTCCTCGGAGAAAGCCAAGATAACCAACAACAAACTCAACCCACATGACTACCGACCGGACACGAATTCACAATCCCTACCGGTCGAAGTTTGGTCCCCTGTACCACAAGTTCACATACTCGTAAGACAAGTACAATAAATATTCCTAAAAGGTAAGGTAAAAGGTAAAGCCGCACTCGGGCTAACAACTGGCCCACACAACCGGAGCTTATCCCGATCCGTAGCATACAGCCGACTAGGAGTATCGCTATTCCCCCTGGATGGGATACTAGTCCATCGCAGCTTACCCGCGATGGACTAGTATCCCATCCATCTGTTTAATAGTACTTTAAAAACTCGTTGCGAGCGACGCTACGAAAACGCCGATCCAACATCTAACCAAAAGCACAAACTTACAGCCGGCAGAATATGTCTCACCTGAGTTCTGTAGAAATCCATGGCTGCCGCACAAAATAATTTAACGTCGATGCTTTCAAGTTTTCCATTCTTCCCACGATATAGGAAAAGCTGATGTCTCAGTTAAGGACAATCTCCAAGTATATAAACAAAGAGTTCTTGTCTGATAAAGTAGAGAAATGATCTTCGCAGTTGTGTTTTGCAATTTAAGCAATTGCAAAGAAACCTAAAATACATGTAAATCCAGGCTCCAACGAGATTTGAAGCCATTACCTCCGCGTTACCGGTGCGATGCTCTACCAACTGGGCAATGAAACCACACATTGGGAGCAAGGTCAGTTGTCAGTTCATATGTTCCAGTGAAAAGAATGGAATGACAAGTTAAGTGTAGAGCGGTTTTCAATTAAGTGTCCAAAGTAATCTGAATTTTGCTTTAGTTTTGCTTTACTACGCTCTATGGTTGGTTTAAAAAAATCGCGCTATATGCTCAACCAATCAGATGCATAACCAAAACCAATCGTGACTTTGTTACGCACGTTTTCCCGCGCTTAGCGCCGGTTACGTACATTTGGCCACGAGTTTTCATTGGTTCATTGTGTTGCTTGCGTTTGTTGTGATTGGCCATTGTAAGTGCTTTGGTTTTGATTTTATACACTCAATTGAAAACCGCTCTATGGCTGACTGGAGTAGAACCAATTCAACGGCAGCAATGCATTTAGCCCATAAGTTTTTTTCATGTGAACCCACTCAGTCTCGTGAACATGAAAGTTAAGAATTTTTACGAGTTGACTGCTAATAAACAACCTTATAACACTCAATAATAACTAAGAAAGTACAAATAAACATTTCTTCGGATACAGAGCTCGGATCCATTTGCTACTGGAAGCACTGACAAAGAAGGCAAGTGAGACTCCACATGGCCATCGCCAGAGGCGTCCTGTCACAAGAAAAAGTCATGTCAGTATTGTAAAACAAACGCTCTATAACTTGGCTCTCGTACTCATCCACGCGCTTTGAGTCCTTGCACAATTTTCAAAGAGAGTAACAAAGGCACTATTTTGCAGTCTGGAGTATTAAACATAAAGATACAGCACGATAGCAATCGAGGCAGTTATAGGTCTTGAGTTGTTCGTATTGGTGAATCTAGGTTTCTTTCGTTGTCACGTCCGCTTTAATACAGTAACGCAACGCTTCTCCCCGCGTTTGCACGACCACCCAAAGAAGAATGTTGACTTTAGGTCAACAGCCCGCTCAAGGCAATTATCACAACAACAAAAGGAACAAACCGCTGAATAAAGCTTCCAAGTGATAGAAGAACCCAGTCCCTCACTTCCGTTTGCTGTCCTTGACTGTGAAGACCCTCAAACACCTGATGAATAAACCATAATAATCAAGCAAGTTAATGAAGCGAAAAATAATGAATAAAGTTTAACTTTCGTTTCGACAAAAACACACGTTCCGTTTAATTTGCTCTTTCGGCCATCTGTTTTTACGACTTTGGCAGTGGAGGATGAAACAAGGCAAAGGAAACTCGGTCTGGCGAAACAGTTCATAGTCAACTGTTGCCATGACTAAAACACTTACCAAGGAGTAACTGGTTTGTTCTGTTAAATAATGAACGAAAATGGTTCATTCCCGCGCGTTATTCTCTCCCTTATGGCGTTTTGTCGGGAGCACCACGGTAACAGGACGAGCAGGTTTAAAAAGTGCGCCGACACAACGCCATATAAATTAACTCTGAAGAAGGTGGACAGTAGCCACCGAAAATTTAGTTCACCATAAATTACCGGCTTAGATCGGGTAATTTTAATTTTCACAAAAATGCCATCAATCCTGTCAAATATTTTCAGAGTAACTGGCTAAAAAATGTTCTATGTTCACGCACCCAAGATTGGTTTTCTGAATACAGATTCCCCCCGCAAGTAGACTCTCTTGGAGGTGGTCGACTTGCAGAAGATTAGAATCTGATTAAACTAGATGATCGGCGTTTTGAGTACGTTACACAGCCTTTTACACAAAAGTTCGTTTGCCTTGTCACGCAATACGAACAACAAAATGTCAAGAGAAGTCATCTGGTCTGGAATACCCAGCACCTTATGTACCTTAAACAGAACTTGAGCCATCAGTTCAGGATGCGGTTGCTGACTGGATAGAAACTCTCCTATCACTTTATTCATGATTTCCTGTGCGGGGAAGAAATCAAGTAACAGAGGTGGCAAAACTCTGGCCACAACTCTTGCCTCCGATGGGACACCTTTTCGTAATCCTGCACAGAAAAAAATATATATATTAAAATTTGCTATTTGGCTACAATGATTTTTTTCTATTTATGGGAGGGCGTGGAGGGGTGAAAAGACAACCTTATTTTTCGTAACATGGTGGGCCATGTTCTGGCACATGCACAATAGTTTTTTGAATGTTGGAAATGAAATAGTTTTTACTCTACCTGTCAAATAGAACTGTAACACGCTCCATGGCAATGAGAAGTATGTCTTCTGTTGGAAACTCGACAGTGTCGGGTTGAGGGTAGATACCACTTGGTCGGTCGCCAATCTTGCCTGAAAAGAAGGCAAGAATAGCCGAACGGATAACATTCCGTGTCTTGAAATTCTTATCGATTACCAAGATAACTTTTATTACTTATTTCTGACTGACTGGCTGAGTGGCTGACTGATGGATGGACGGACGACGGACGGACGAACTGACTGACTGACGGACAGACGGATGGACTGAAAGATGGACGGGACAGATTGATGGATGGATGGACGGACATGGAATGACTGACTGACTGATGGACGGACAAAAGGACGGACTGACTAACTGACTGCCCCATTAACTGACCGACTGACGGACGGACGGAACGGACTGACGGATGGACGAACGGAGCGTGGGTGGACGGAATGATTCCCTTCTCTATAGAACCGTTATCTCTAAAGTCTATTTGATCTGGATTGCAAATGCACGTTGTCACAAACTAAAAAACCCTCCTAGGGCGCTATGCTAGTAACGAAACCTGAATGCAGCCATACGTCCTACCTGTGTACATGCAGGTGATCAGTAAACCCAAAGCAGATATGGCTCTTTGAGGGTTTTGCATGGACAATCTGTAATGATAAAAGCGTTAGACACCCTTGGATATTATTTGAAGCACTTCATAGCAAGTATTTTGTCTTAACAATCTCAACCATTGAAAGGCATGAAATAGATTATCGTTTAGACGATGATCTCTTTGAGTGTCGTAACTCCAACTCGTTACTCCAGCTAACTTTATTAAAGGAGCTACGTCACGGATAGCGCATCTTGAAAAAAATTGGCCAATTTTTTTTTCAAGTTCGCCGTTTGCAATCCGTCTTAATCTTTTCCATCTTCAACATCCCTGTTCCTGTATGGTTTCCTTATCACCTCTTTGGTATTTTTCTACTTAGTAAACTATTATTTTGAGGCTTTTCTTCAATTTGAAGGTGATTTTGCACTTCGCAAAAATGACTTAAAATATCGTGACATAGCCCCTTTAAAGGCTTCCCTCATCCCTTGGAAAGAAGGGTGAACCTAATCTAAACCTGACTGTTTGTTTTGTTTGTTTGTTGTTTGCTTTTTTCAAACAAACCTCCGACTTATAAAAGAATCATTCCAATGCCAGTTCCTTCAGAAGCTGATACGAGCGAGAGGGGTGGGGGTGGCGGAGGGGTAAGGTGAAATAATGTTGTCGCAAGTTATGACTGACCCACCCGACCCACCTGTCAACACTGAGTTTCACAAGTGAATCAGACCCCGCACTTGACAGAGCAAAGGACACCACCAGTCTCTCCAGTCCCCTCATAATGGCGTGATAAACACAAGTTGGAGTACTGTCCTCATTTGATGACGCGATACGAACGGCACTCTGCAAATCAAATAACAACACAAACAATAATATGACGACAAAACGAATGTAGAACTTTCAAGCCCTGGCCGGGGTCACTGTGTTGGTGTTCTTGGCAAGACACTTTAGACTCTCACAGTGCCTCTCTCCACCCAGGAGTATAAATGGGTACTGGCGAACTGTTAGGATAACCTGCATTGTACTAGCATCCCATCCAGGGGAGTAGCAATACTCCTAGTCACTTGTGGGCCTCTAGGCTCATGAAGACTTACTAGGAGGATTAGTTTCTAAGGAAGCTGTGCTGAGGTCAACTCTCGAAAAAGAAGGGTAAGTTGGCTTGATATAGAAAAAAAAAGGTGGTAAAGAGGCCATCATAAAAGCACCGTACCTTCAGGAGGTTAGCCTTTAATTCTTGGTCAACTGATTTCATCAGCATATCTCTCTAGCAAGTAAAATGCTGTTGACCACATGACTAACAGGTGATGCTCCGCCAAGGACACCGCGCTGAAAAAGAGCGCCAAATAAAAAAAAGATGGTTAGTAAAGAACTACTGCGCAGAAAATAGAAATGTTTTGTGGACTAAAAGAACACTGAAGATGACAACCTCGTTCCCAGGGTCTCTCATCTTCCCGCCCCAGGTGTGAAGATGAGTGATAATCACGCCAAACTGGGCGCGTCAAGAAAAACCTACGTAAATTAACGAGAGAACATGTGACGACATGCAGAAACCAATCTCCATCTTACCCTGTCAAAGCAGTTAGCTTCTTGCTCAGGAAGTCGGTTAGGACTGGTAACAATACAGCGCTGACAGAGGCCACGTGGAACTCGCAATAGATACATTGCTCCATAGAGAGCGGAGATCTACAAAAAACAACCAATAAGGTAACTGATGGACTCGACATGGCAGGTATACAAGCCACTCCTACAGTCAGCCTCGTTTCCAGAGTAAGAAAAACCCTGGAAACGAGATTGTACTACAGTGAGTTGTTAAAGGAGGACGTCCTAGATGGTGTACGCTAAATTTCAATTTCAATTTCAATTTCTTTCGTTCGCAATCTGTCTCAATCTTAACCATCCTTGTCCCTTTGTTGTTCCTTGGTTAGCTCTTTGGTGATTTTCAACCATTGGTTAGATTTTCGACGTTGTAATAATATTGGCATCTTAGGACTTCCTCGTATTTCAATTAGAGGTTTAATCTAATACCGAAATAACAGATATCAAGGCTATTCACCTGAAGGGACACGTGTGGAACTTCTCAATGATGATTCTAAAATCTTGCAAACTCTGTCAGCAGTCGCACCTTCCTGGAAAGGAAATCAAAAGTTGAGTTAAAGCTGTTATATATTTTTGGTTTGGACCAATCAGCGCGCGTTTATAAACTTAGTTACCGTTTGCCCAATGTCAACATGGTTGATAAACCTACTATACATAAGGGCCCGGATGTTCGAAAGATAAT